CCGCGAGAGTCTCAATTGCTGAGCAGCGAATTCGCTGATAAATGTGTCTTGGGAGCCGCTATCAAGAAGAGCTCTGAGTGTGAACGCGCGCCCAGAAGGAGAGACAACACCCAGCTGGGCGGTGGCAAGTAGTGTTGACGATCGTGAATGCTTTTGTGTTGATGTACACGTAATGGGTGTAGTGGCACGCACATGGTTGACGCAACCGAGTCGACTGTTCTCTTCTTGACACTATCATAAAGCATCGTGTGGTGCTTTGAGTTACTTCGCTTGCATGAGAACGACGACGGACATCTGTTTTGCATGTGATCGCTCTTCAGGCAATTCTTGCATAGACCCTTTGCCTTAACTGTTTGTAATCTATGAGTTGGAGATTGGGCCTTAAACTTTGAGCAGAACTTCAGTATGTGCTTTCCTGCACAGCAGGGGCATGGTAGATAATTGGCTTGATGGCAGCGGATGGATTGATGGCGCACTGGCTTAGGACTGCTTCTAAACCCACAATGCGCTTCTCTAAGAACTGTACTAATTGTTTATATATTGGGATGTGGTTGGGAGAGTCTAGGGACAACTCCCATTGCTTAAGAGTTTCTGTATCTAGCTTTTCGGTGATCAGATACACAAGCCAATCATCCCACTTCTCCGTGGGTCTACCAAGCTTCGTCAGTGCACGCTCGGACTCTGTGACCCCGTCCATAAGCTTCTGTATTGCTGTTGAGCATTCAGCTGACGCGCTAGGAAGTTTCACGATGTTGTGCAAGTAGGCGCGCAGAAGTCGTATTNTTTTGTCTAAATCTCGCGTTTTTTCTCTACCGTGTACACTTAGCTTTAGACGCGGTGTCTTTCGATGCTATGGCTAATTGCAAAGCTTCCTCGCGTGCCGCGGTAAATTTGGCCCAATAATAATCTAGGAGTCGTTTACGAGCTATCAAGTAACCCCGGGTTTGTTTCTGCTTCGCGGTTTTTCGTGTATTTGCCGAAAAGTTAGTAATGAGCTTAGCCAGGCTCTCTTCTTTCTCGCCTTCCATGCCAGTGCAATTTAACTTAGTTCGCTTGTTAAGGTTATCCACGTTCTTCTCACGTTGCGTTTTAGCAACAAACCGGGGTGCAGCTCACTGATCGCAAAACTAGTAAAAGAAGCTGAGTGTTTCGTACAATATTGGGACGTTTCCTTGCAAGGGATGCCAAAATGTAAAACGAAATGAAACGCCCTCAAAAATTGGTCCTAAATATTCTTTATTTTAAAGANACCTTTGCTGAAGTATATCCCAGGCAACTTTGAAATTGCTGTCAATAACTAGCAAATTTCGGAGGAGCACTTCGGCGTCTCCTGATAGGCAGCCTTTCAAATAATGCAATCGCTGGACATCGGATAAGGTCACGCCATTAATAACACACGTGGAGAACGTGTCCTTGAAAGATAACCATGTTCCAAAAGTTCCGTCGAACTTTGGCAGCTCGATTTTCGGTAGCTTCATTGTTGTCTTTGTGGATACGCTTTCAGTCGTCCCTGATGGACTTGGTGCCTGATTATAGAGTGCGTCTTCCAACTCCCCTAATGCCTCACAATAGGCGCCTTCGATTTCTGCAAAACGGCTATCATCCAACTGTGNAAATTGGTCCTAAATATTCTTTATTTTAAAGAGTAGTTTGCTGTAGAGAATCGACTTACTTTCCCAGATGTTGATGAAACGAAGAAGGATAGACAACAACAACTTTGTTGAAGTGACAGCCCGGTGGTGTGTGTCATCGTACGGTCTCACAACATGTAGCTGTCTGTATGGTACAACGANCTTGTTGTATGTACATATATATGTATTTATATCAAAGCCACGATGTAGAAAATATAGTTGGCGCCATCAGCGGAGCGCTAACCCTTCGTCGAGTTGACAGCATTCACCAATTTTCTGACGTTATAAAATACATTTTCGCAATATGAACAATAATTAAATTTTGNACTGGGTTGCTGTGTTTTCATGTAGCATAAAGCAGGGTTACATTCTAACAGGGAATTTTGAACCAAGTTCTGAAACAGGGCGTTCTTCAACCAATTTCTGAAGTAGGACGTTCTCGAAAAGTTTTCTAATAGGACGTTTTCGAACCAGCAGCCGAAATAGGTCGATCTTCCACTCAGCAGTCCATATGTGTATATCTTNTACTTATTTGCCGAAAAAAATTTTACCTAAAAGTAGACAAATGTACCTAAAAATTTAACATGGCAACCTCTCCCTTCGGTACANGAGTTCAACAAAGCACGCCAGTCCTTTCTTTTCTGTGCCAACTGACGCCATTTAGAATTGCCAAGTGAAGCCAAATCCTTTTCCACCTGGTCTTTCCATTTCAGTGGGGGCCTCCCTCTTGCTCTGCTACCACCAGCGGGTCCGAGTTGAATACTTTCTGAGCTGAAGCGTCGGTGTACATTCGAACGACAAGGCCCAGCCAGCGGAGCCGCTCTATTTTAATTCGATGCACTATGTCCATGTCGTTGTAATAGGCCCGTCAGAATGGGTACTTTGCGTACGTTCCGCTCAAGGATGAAACTGACAGTTGAGTAGACTGTGTGTGTTTGCATAGAGAGCGCCAGATTGGCAACCCTTGCGTCGACGGACTCAACGAACGTTGGCCAACTCTCAACTTTTGACGCAAGTAAGTCCGGCAATGCTGACATTTGACATTTGAGTTTCATTAGCGCCGTTTTCTTTTAATTTTTCATTTGCTCAACAAAATTCCTTCAAAACAAGAAAAACACAAATTTGGGAATATAAAATGGAGTTTAAATTAATTGAAGCGGTGCAAATGCACCCTTGCTTATATGATAAAAGTATAGTGGCTTATAGAAACCGGTTGGGGAAAGAAAAAGCGTGGAATTATGTGGCGGCCGCCACAGGTTGCAGTGGTAAGCGGCGATTCGGGTACGGTTTAATTGTTTGTTCAACGACTTTGGGTTGCTGTGCGGTTTAAAATATGCTAATTTCGCACACACACCGCCTTCCCCTCCGACCTCCACCCCAAAATCGTTGTACAAATAACTAAACATTTCCCGTACCTTGTGTTTTCCAATGTTTTCAAAAATTTATCGGCAGTGGAACAGTGTCAGAGTCGCTGGAGGTCCCTTCGCGACCGATTTGTAAAGGAAGAAAGCGGAAGAAAGGCGCCTTCTGGGAGTGCTGCAAACGACAAGGACGGTAGTGGATGGAAATATTACGAGGCATTGGCATTTCTGCAACGGCACGTTGCACCACGCAAGTAATTTATGCAACCATTGCTATCATTGAATCCACTTTAGTCAGCTTCTTTCGTGAAATCTTCAAAAGTGCTATCACTGAATGCGGATACATATGTATGTACTTACATACATGGCTACGACCGTAGCCTATACTTTGAATGTATACGTTCCGGGGAATTGAGATTCAGTGTTACATTTTCGTAGTTTCGCAAAAATCGGACTGCGATGGTTACAGCGAATAGTCCCGAATACTTAATAGAGTATTACGAGGTTACACCGCATGCTCGCCTAAAAGAATAGACATATTTTGGAACTTTAAGCTTTTTTAAGACAAAATTAAAAATTAGTTTCAATTGCCGAAAAGTCCACTTATATAGATGTATATATATTATTTAAGGACGTTTGGCAACACAACGTTTGGTACCAACATAAATCTTGAAAAATGTACATCGCAGCCTGAGCAATCCATTAATGTATATGAGTCGCAACCTCTTTTCGAATATTCCTACGATGAAGAGCCCGTAATTGAGCAGACGCAGCAGACAGTTGCTAAGAAATCGCTTTGATTTTTGCACTTTGTATACTAAAATTGAATGGGCTATAAAACTGTATACTTTGGTTAAAACTTGCAAAATATGTATGCAAATTTACCGAATTTTCCTTCGTTTAGCACAAAGTTTAGAGATTTCAGTTTTATTTTTTTTGTTGCAGTATAAACAGTATTTTTTTAAACAAATAGCAGAAAAAATAAAGAGTAAACAATTTTGCATACATTTTCAAAAATTCTGTGTCAATAATTTTGCGCGGCACTGTATATATACATATATATATATATGTACAAGTATGTATATAGTATATGTACATGTACATACATNTCCTTCGTTTAGCACAAAGTTTAGAGATTTCAGTTTTATTTTTTTTGTTGCAGTATAAACAGTATTTTTTTAAACAAATAGCAGAAAAAATAAAGAGTAAACAATTTTGCATACATTTTCAAAAATTCTGTGTCAATAATTTTGCGCGGCACTGTATATATACATATATATATATATGTACAAGTATGTATATAGTATATGTACATGTACATACATTTGCGTTCAACTAATTAGAAACGAAATTCAAAATGATATTGTTTGCAAATTGTTTATTTTTTTATTTTTAATCATTTTCATTTAAAATATAATTCAATCTGTAACAGAAACCACAATAATAAAAGTTTCAAAGCTTGCGAAACTTGCAAAAAAATTTATCAAACTTTTTTTATTGTGGTGTCAGTTACAGATTGAAATATATTTTAAATGAGTATTATTAAAAATAAAAATAAACAATTTGCAAACAATATCATTTTGAATTTCGTTTCTAATTAGTTGAACGCAGGTGTATATACATGAACTGTTGTAATGAAATGTATAAACTGAATAAGAAAGAACAAAACCAAATGTAAAGTTATGAACTGTATTAAAAAATTGAATTACTTAAATAAAATAAAATTACTTACTTTTTTAAAAATTTGGATTACTAAGCTCGAAATTGTGGATATCTAATATACAGTAGTCGAAAAGATTATAACCGCACCATATATTGACAAGTTTTTAGGAGTATTTTGGTTTTTTTTTTAGTTTTAGTTAATTTTTAGAAAAACTGTAGAATTCTTTAATAAAAGCCTTGTTATAAAAAAAAACAAGTAAAATTAAGTAACAAAAATGTGAAAACTTGTCAATACGTGGTGCGGCCATAATATTTCCGGCCACTGTATGATAGTTAATATTTTTAAGCCCGCTATACAGCTCATTGCGAGCGTGAACGTGAACTTTTTAGTTTGACTAATAACTTCGTTATTACTTCACCTTTTGAATTAGTTAATATCAAAAATAGAGAATTAAAATATCTTTCAGAATTATAGAATTAAAAGTAATTATTTATTTTAATTATTTGCACTACATGTACTTGCATGTACTCTTCTTTACTGGGTTATTCGGGGGTGAGATACTAAATAATCTTTTAATTCATCCCTCAATTTAAAAGCATTGTGGGAAGCGTTGTTTGAGCCCATGCGCCTAGCATTCTGTAAGGGGGCAGGAATTTCATTTCGCCATAAGCCCCTTCTCACTTCGCCATTGATTTCTTGATCAATTGCTTCAGGGGGACAATAGCTACCATCGGGCATTTTTACATAGTTGTGCAACACGACAGTGGCCTTCACTATCTTCTCGGTAGAAGCGGGGCTCATTTATAGTGGACTTAATAATATTCTTCACCGGCACGCCAAAATTCCAAACTCGTTTTCGATGACCCAACGAGCCCGGGACAATCGTTGGTTAAAAATTTGCCTTGCTGGTGGTAAGTTTGTTCCTAAAAGAAATAAACGTGTTAACAGCGAAAGACAAAAATATAATCACTTCTTACAAACCTGGAAACGGTCTCATCAAAAATGGTTTCAACGGAAACGCATTATCGCCAACAAAGTAATGGGGAAAACAATTGTTTGTACCTGGTAGAACATCATTTTCAGGCAGATCCAGAGTAAAGGTTTTTGCCGAAGCCCGAATTCCATAGGACACCGCCATCGCTTTGGGAACCGTAAGCGCCAATATCGATTCCAGTAAATGTATAATTGGCGTCGCATACTGCAAGTAAAACTATGGAATAATTTCCCTTGTAGTTGTAGAAGAGAGAGCCAGAGTTTGACGGACAAAATACGTTTATATGTTTGCCGTCAATTGCCCCGACGCAGTTCGGCAAATCCCACATTGTATAAAAATCAATGGCGATTCGTTTCCACTCATCATTCTGTGGTAATGAGACATACACGGGACCAAGCACTTCCCACAGTGCGTCGCACGTTTCTCCAACTATTTCCTTCATTGAGGAGAGTCCGACCTTGAATGAAGAGGCGTAAAAAGGCTTACCTCCACCATGAGCCAAATAACTAAGAATAAATTAAACCCACATTATTACTTATATTTTTACTATGTGTGAGATGTGAGCAATATACAACTTACCACAGGGCCAAATAAAGCCGGCATTCGGGAGAAATAGACGGTCGATTCGAGTTTTTAGTAAGTTTTTCTCGGATCAAATTAAGGAGCAGGTCGAATACTTTCTTCTCCATCCTAACAGTATTTTTAAACTCCTGTGGGAAGGAAAAGTGCGTGGCAAAGAAACCATTTGCTTCACGATCTCGTAGATCTGGTCGTACCCACCATCTCCGATTGCCATACAAACGTTTGAAGCACTCCATGGCTTCCAACAATATTAATGTAATTAAAATTACTTCAATAGCTTCCATTTTCAAAGTTTATTTATTATTTTGATAATAACAAATAAAAATTTTTAGATTTATTCGCAGCGAAAAATTTGGCGGTAATAAAGAACAGCTGATTTTTGTTTACAAACGCAATACCTCAAGTGGCGTATCTCTACGTGACGTACGCCACTTCCTTCGCATACTTTTCCGGTACTGACGTACAAGTACCCATTCTGACGGGCCTATAAAGCTCATCGTTACATCGTCTGCGGTGCTCGCCGTCGCCAACTCGTAAAGGCCCGTAAATCTTCCGCAAATCTTTCTCTCGAATACTCCAAGAGCCGCCTCATCGGATGTTGTCATTGCCCATGCTTCTGCGTTATATACCAGCACGGGCGTTATAAGTGAATTATAGGGTGTGGTTTTTGTATGCTGAGAGAGGACCTTAATCCTGAATTTCCTACCCAGTCCAAAGTAGCACTTGTTGACAAGAGTGATTCTGCGTTGGATTTCCATGCTGACATTATTATCGGTGTTAATGCTGGTTCCCAAGTAAACGAAATTCTCTACTTTCTCCAAATTATAATTGTCAACAGTGGCGTCGCGCCTATGTGTTGACTGTTTGTTTGATGACAGGAGATACTTCGTCGTGTCAGCGCGAATGTGCTGACTATTTGTTTGATGACAGGAGATACTTCGTCTTGTCAGCGCGAATGTGCTGACTGTTTGTTTGATGACAGGAGATACTTCGTCTTGTCCTCGTTTACCACCAGACCCATTCGCTTTGCTTCCCTATCCAACTTGGAAAAGGCAGAACAGACTTCGCGGTTTTTGTTAGCGATGATGTCGATGTCATCGGCATAAGCCAGCAATTGCACGCTCTTGTAGTAAATTGTTCCTGAGCGGTTCAGTTCTGCAGCTCTTATTATCTTCTCCAACATCAGATTAAAGAAGTCACATGAAAGGGAGTCGCCCTGTCTGAAACCCCGTTTTGTGGCGAACGGCTCGGAGAGGTCTTTTCCAAGTCTGATGGAGCTGGTGGTATTGCTAAACGTCATTTTACATAGCCGTATGAGTTTTGAGGGGATGCCAAATTCAGACATAGTGGCTTTTGACAGCACTAAAAGGAGTTGCCTATACACTCCTTTTAGTGCTGTCAAAAGCGGCTTTAAAGTCGACAAATAGGTGGTGAGTGTCGATCCTTTTCTCCCGGATCTTTTCCAAGATTTGGCGTATTGGGAATACCTGGTCTATGGTGGATTTGCCAGGTCTAAAGCCACACTGATAAGGCCCAATCAGTTCATTGAAGATTAGGTCCAGTCTTTCACACAATACGCTCCATAAGACCTTGTAACCTATGCTTAGAAGGCTGATCCTGCGGTAGTTGGCGCGAATGGTGGGGCATACTTAAAAACCAGTCGTCGGGCATGCGTTCATCTGACCATATTCTGCACAAGAGTTGATGCATGCACCTTATCAACTCCTCGCCGCCGTACTTGAATAGCTCAGCTGGCAGGCTGTCAGCTCCAGCGGCTTTGTTGTTTTTCAGCCGCGTTATTGCTATACGTACCTCGTCATAGTCAGGCGGTGGAACGTCGACTCCGTCATCATCGACTGCGGGCTCGGGTTCTTCTTCTNAGTTGATGCATGCACCTTATTAACTCCTCGCCGCCGTACTTGAATAGGTCAGCTGGCAGTCTGTTCAGCCGCGTTACTGCTATAAGTACCTCGTCATAGTCAGGCGGTGGAGCGTCGACTCCGTCATCATCGACTACATGCTGGGGTTCTTCTTCTCCTTAACTTTCGGTGCTGCTAACATTTAGTAGGGCGGAAAAGTGTTCCCTCCATAATTTAAGTACGCTCTGGACATCAGTTACTAGGTCGCCATTATTGTTCTTACAGGAGTGCGCCCCGGTCTTTAAACCTTCCGTAAGTCGCCTAACTCTCTGGTAAAATTTTCGGGCATTCCTCCTGTCGGCCAGCATTTCAAGCTCTTCGCACTCACGTATTTCTGCCTCTCTCTTCTTGTTGCGGCAAATACGTCTCGCTTCCCTCTTCAGATCCCTATAGCGGTCCCACATAGCGCGCGTTGCGCCCGATCGCAGCGTGGCCCTGTAGGCGGCATCTTTTTTCTCTGCAGCTTCCTGACACTCCTCATCGTACCAGTTGTTCTTTTGTCCGCCAGCATATCAAGCTACTTTTTCGGCGCCGGTACTTAATGAGCGGGAAATGTGGTTCCACTGCTCGCATATGTCGGTTTGTTGAAGAGTGCTCTCTGAGAGCAAGGGTGAGAGTCGAGTAGCGAAAGCACTGGCTGTCTGTTGTGACTGCAGCTTTTCGACGTTAAGCTTTCCTTGCATATTTGGGCGCACATTTTTTGGGACACAGAGGCTGCAAAAAGATAGTGTGGTTCGAGTCGATGTTTGGGCCCCGGAGTGAGCGTACGTCTAAAACACCGGAAGCGTGCCTTCCGTCTATCACAACATGATCGATTTGGTTTCTCGTTTTTCGATCCGGAGACAGCCACGTAGCTTGATGGAACTTTTTATGCTTGAACCTGGTACTGCATACTACCATGTTTCGGGCCCCGGCGAAGTCGATCAGCCTCAATCCGTTGTCGGACGTTTCGTCGTGGAGGCTGAATTTTCCGACGGTGGTTCCAAAGATCCCTTCTTTGCGCACCCTGGCAATGAAGTCGCCAAGCACGATTTTGATATCATGATGGGGGCAGCGCTCGTACGTGCGCTCCAAGCGCTCATAGAAGAGATCCTTGGATACCTTATCCTTCTCTCCCGTCGGCGAGATGTTGAAGAATATCGCATTGATGCGGATTGTGGCTAAACGCTCGTCCACCGGGGTGAACGACAATACTCGGCGACGGAGTCTCTCTCCCACCACAAATCCAACTCCGAATTTGCGCTCCTTTACATGGCAGCTGTAGTAGACGTCGCAAGGCCCCAGACATTGCTGACCTTGCCCCGTGCAACGCATTTCTTGGATGGCGGTGATGTCAGCTTTTGTCCTTACGAGGACATCAACCAGCCGGGCAGAGGCACCTTCCCCATTAAGGGTCCGGACATTCCAGGTGCATGCCCTCAAATCGTAGTCCTTTAAACATTTGCCGTGGTCGTCATCATAAGGGGGGGTCTCATCCGAGGCTTTGCCTTGCTTCTTCACTGGAAGTGGTTTTTACGTGGCGGGTCCCAAGCCCAGCGCACAACCCATTGCTGGGACGGGGGTGGTTTCGCAACCAAATACACGTTTATATAGCGAGCCGCTTGCTCCAAGCAGACACCCGCTTGCAGCCGCACCTACTGGTGAACAGACGCTGCAGACTTCAGTGAGCCCTTAAACCGAATAAGTCGGAGTGGCCGCACCGAAGCTCCTTCTCTTTCTGCCGTGACCCAAGGCTCCACTCGGAGTGGTTACCGCATCTCGCACATGGGTTGCTCACGTTGCCCAGAGTGCGCGAACGAGGACGCAAGAGTCGGGATTGAGTATAGCCATGCAACTGTAACTGCATACCCAGCGCAACGACTATAACCCCTTGCACTCCTGTGTGATGACTTAGCTCACGTAAAATGTGCTGGTCTCAATCGTAGGGTGGGCGATATCATACCCGACAACAAAGGTGTTCGTTGGTTGCCCCAAGTGCAGACCAACCGAAGTTGACCTTTGTAAAATGTTTAGGAGCGCCAAAAGTGGCTTCCAGGAGTTGGGTAAGGAGCTAAAACTTCTAAACGAAAAGTTTAAGCGATATGAAGATGCATTTAAAGACTTTAATTGCATTGAATCTTCATCCTCTCCATCACCCAAGCTTAAACAAGCTTGAAAAAAGCGGAAGCATGGAGGCGACAGCATTGTTCCTAATCCCATTGCTTTAGACATTGACACTCCACCAACTGATTCTTTGCCTACTCTTGGCTTAAATAAGGAATTAATAAGTTTTAATTTTCGTGTGTTGAGTTATCTCAAGCTGCATCTTCTCAGGTGTCACTACAAGGACTGCGGGAAAAACGACAGCTGCGTCTGAACTTAAATCTCAATGTGGACCTTCTCCGGTACCCAAAGAATTAATCGTAGTTTCCGCGAATAAATCTGTGTTTATTTCGCGTTTTTCTAGTGAAACTTCGGTAAATGATGTTAAGTCTTATATAAAGTCAAAGCTTAGCCCCCGGTACATAGCTATTAGAAAATTTAATTTTTCATACGAAAGAAGCATATCTAGCATTTTCAAAACATTGTTGATGGTTCATTCTGGCCCAATGATGCTATAGTTCGTGAGTTTGAGTTTAAACCTCGAGCTCGGAATGAAAATACTGCTCAAATTCCCTCCTCATGATGAAAAGCTTATAAGTAATTTTTTCTTCAATATTTATTACGAAAATGTTAGAGGTCTAAATACAAAATTAACCGAGCTGTACTTAAATGGCCTTATTCATAAAAAATAAAGTAGTCTTATAAAAGGTTTATAAATTGAAAAATGTATGAAAACGTCAATTTATAAAGCTCTTTAAACCTACTTTATTTTTTATGAATAAGGCCAAAAGTCTTTTGATTTAAATTATGAAATGTTGGTCCTGTGTCTTAATAAGTTGTGCATATTATCTATATAAGCCATTAAAAAACATCTTCAATGCTTCTCTAAAGCAAGGATTTTTCCCCTCTTTGTGGAAGGAGTCGTGTATCCTGCCGCTGTATAAAAATGGAACCAGGTCAAATATTGCGAATTATAGCGGAATCGCTAAGCTGTGTGCCATTCCTAAAATATTTGAAGAAATCGTTACGGAAGAACTATCTTATTTCATAACGCCTCTTATCGATGTATCGCAAAACGGCTTTTGTAAAGGCAAATCAACTGAATCAAACCTTCTTGAATTCACTACAAATGTGAACAATGGTCTCAAAAGTAACTATCAAACTGACGTCATTTACACTGATTTCAGCAAGGCATTTGATAAAGTATCTCATTCAACTCTAATAGACAAACTTGATAAAATTGGTTTCCCTCCAATCCTGCTGCGCTG